CCAAGAGGTGAGCACCTCAGATCATAGGGACACAGATACTGTCAGTTATGGTCTAATAGCAGCAGGTGTTGTACTAAGTGAGTCAGTTCCTTGCTGGACATGTTTTTCATCTATATAAATGGAGAACAAGCATCCACAGAAATCCATATTTGACTCTGCTGATCTGTGCAGTGTAGTTTACAAGTGAGCAGGTACAGCCTCTTAATTGCGGCAATGAGCTGTGAAAGGCATGTTATCATGTTCATCTGAGCAACAGCTGAGGCTCTGTGGGTTGTGTTTGCACGGTTAACAACGTGGAGGAGAATATCACACAGGACTCAATTTGGCAAGTTCAATTCTGCATCACACCGTTTGCTTATTTACCAGGCACTGAAATGACTCAAACTCTTGAACACGCCTGTATGTGGTGAGGAGAGTCACATAAAAGTGAAGCTGTTTTACAAACAGGAGCTCCGCTGTAACCATAATGAGGCGGAGCACCTATTTTAAGTAGACCACCTGGTTCCAAAACAACTGACCCAAGTCTCTTTTTTCTGTCTCATGTCCAGGTTTCACCCTCCCAGCGTGGTCGGGACAATGGGGAGTGCAGCTGCCTGTGCTCGCCTCTTGTCCTTGGATGACGCCCAGTGCAGTCATGCCTTGGCCATAGCTGCTTCTCTTTCTGGAGCCCCGATGGCTAATGCTGCCACTCAGTCTAAGCCCTTTCACATTGGCAACGCCTCACGTTTGGGGCTGGAAGCTGCTCTGCTGGCCTCCAGAGGCCTAGAGGCCAGTCCTCTGGTCCTGGATGCTGTGTCAGGGGTGGCCGGCTTCAATGCTTTTTATGAAGACTACGTGCCACAGCCTTTAGAATCACCCAATGATGGTGGCCATACATTCCTGTTAGAGGAGCAGGACATGGGCTTCAAGCGCTTCCCTGCCCATCTGGGGATGCACTGGGTGGCAGATGCTGCGGCCTCGGTCCATAAGCTCCTTGTAGGAGTTGGTCCTGGCACCATCTCCCCAGCTCAGGTCCAGAACATCCATCTCAGAGTCCCGAAATCAAAGTACATCAACAGACCTTTTCCTGAGTCTGAGCATGAGGCACGCCACTCCTTCCAGTTTAACGCTTGCAGCGCTCTCCTTGACGGCGAGGTGACTGTGCAGACCTTTACACCCACTGCCATGAACCGCCCTGAGCTGCTAGCTCTGCTGAGCCGCGTTAACATGGAGCATCCCGAAGACAACCCGGCCAATTTCAACCGTATGTATGGCGAAGTGCAGGTGACACTCGTTGGAGGAGACATCCTGAAGGGACGGTGTGACACCTTCTACGGTCACTGGCGCAACCCGCTGACCAATGAGAGCTTGGCGAAGAAGTTCAGAAACAACGCAGGGATGGTGCTTCATTCAGAACAGGTGGAGAGGTTGATTGATGTGGTAGAGGAGCTGGACAGAATCGGCGACTGCAGGGCTCTTCTGTCACAGCTGCAATGAAAACACAATAACAGCACAATAGAAATCATTGTACATAAATACATCAAAAGATAATTATAATCAATGTGATAAAATGCCACATCACCATCTAAATCAATGCTGACGAATATCACCCATCCTAATTAAAATGGTAAACATTCAACTTTGTTTCTTTTGCACTTGGGGCTGTAATCCCCAAGTAAAGTCCCCATCACTGTACACTACAGTTATTATTCAATGCGTTTGTCTCTTTAACTAGTGCTAAATAACACTGAAACCTGTCGGGCTACTAACATATTTATCTAATGTGCATGGCTAAATAATTGAATGTTTTAATAAGTTGTAAAAATGTGATTTTTTTACTTTGCAAAGGGTTTATAAAAAGTATATGTTATACATACATCACACTGTCGTTTTAACTGTATATTTGTGCTAAATGATGGATTGTTAAAATGTTCATTTAAACATGCAGAAGGATTTTCTCTTTGTCTTTCGAATGTTCTTATACACAGATGTTGTGTATCGGTTGGTGTGTTCTGTTTTTCGGAAAATAAAACTAAATAAAACTAAAAAGCGCTGTCTGGGAATTTGTTTGATGAAAAAATCTTTTCTCTTTGGCTTGAAAAAAGAAAAATTCCACATCTCCCCCTGTAAAAATCAATCATTTAACAGAGGGAGACTTTCTGTGACTGTTAACCGGCACAAGCACCTATTGTATTAGGTTGGTCACTGGCAGTAAATCATATACACCCATGTCTGTAATCCTGTCTTCACAATAAGGTTGAAACAAGCAGGAAATATATCTAGTATATGAGCAAGAAAAGATAACAAGTAACTGCTAAGCATCTAAAACTTTCCCAAGTATGCACATTTGGAGTGCAAACAAAACATTTGCAGCTGTGTTATAAATAAGGAGCGATGCTGGGAAAACACCGATTTCCTCATTTCCTCATGTGTTGGTCCAAAACTTATTATTTGGCCACTTCAGCTAAACACCTCAATAAAGCAGTTCTTGTTCTCCGTTTTGTTATGTTTGGAGTCTAAGAAACTTAAAGTTCTAGGATACAATACAGATTGAAATGAACGTTATCATTATGAGAGCTATGTATCATTAGATGACATTCAGTTACCTGTAAAAATAATAATAATGTGAGACACTTATTGTACTTGGTGTTAAACCTTAACTTTAGAGACTGCTATGCTCTGTTGGAGTTTTGGAGTAAAAGCAGGAAATGACCATCTGTGTCCAGGTCAGCACGATGTTCTCTGTATCCACAACAGATTCTGTTCCATTTAATATTAACAAATGAGGAAAGACTGTGTTGTGCTTAGTGTTCAGCCCTGAAGCCATATTGATTTCAGCTTACACAGATGAGTGAGTCAAAATCACCTCTGGTCCAATTTATTTTTCCTGATACAGATGATCGCTCAGAGAATAACGAGGATACGTCCACTTTTTAAAGGTGTAAACTTGCCTCCTTAAATGAAAAAAGCTTGTTAAAGAAAAAATATAACAGTGAACCGGATGCTAGGCAGGGGCCTTTCACTGTGGAGTGCACATGTTCACTCCGCGTTGCATGTTCTTCCTGTGTCTGTGAGGGTGGACTCCTGCTCTGCCGGCTTCTTCCCACAGTCCAGGGACATACAGCTTAGGTTAACTCAAGATTCTAAAATGTCCATAGGTGTGAATATGAATGTTTGCTTTTCTCTACATGTCAGTCCTGTGATGGACCAGATACCCAGGGTCGCCTCTCGCTCAGTGTCCCCTGGCCCCAGCCTGCGGCCCTCAAAGGGATTAGCATTATAGATGTGGCATAAATGGAAATACAGCACTGGGTTAATATCATATGAAAAGATCATCTTAAGTTATTGTGGTGGTGCAGCTTTACCTTGGCTGATGTCATTTAACAAGGGACATTCCCAATACTGATAGAGACACTTATCAGGGCTGTACTCAAGGAAAAGGAAGTTGTTTCTGAAAAAAACACTCGAGCAATAAGGAAAGAATGTCAAAGTGAAAATGTTTAAAACTAGGGCAACACCTTCACGTGATGATAATAATTATTCCCGTATTGACAGTTCCTGCTTGGCTGTGCTTTATCACAAGGTAATGTTGTTACAGTAAACATAGAAATGAAGATACAAGTGTAATATATCCACTGAGTTCTAAAGGACACACTGAAAAACAAGGGAGGGGCTTCATCCACAATAAGAATGAATTACAGGTGTGCATTTCACACAGGAAAGGATATCGCTGACGGCTGCTCTTCAGTGATGCAGGCAGATGTCTAAATGATAAGATCAAAGAGTCTTAGTAGATAGTGAATAATGTATAAATATTGTTTTCATACACACTCAACTCTCTCTCACCCACAATACAATAAAGGTGCAAGCTCAGACTTCAAGAGCCTCTCTATAGAGCTAAAGCTGTGACACAGATCAAGTTTCCATACAACCAATGCTGAACAGGTTGTTTTTGATGGAAAGGTTGGTTTACAGACAGGAATCAATAAAATGATGGTGAGAATGAATCCTTTTCCTTCTTCTGACTACTGATAACCTACGTTACACAGGTATTAGAATAAATTGACATTTCTATGGGGGCATCAGTGGTGTAGTCTCGTCGCTGACACATGAACAACCACACGAGTGGGTCAGAATACATAGAAGTCTCTTGCTCTTTAGCGAGTGATACGTCAACACATATGGTGAATATGGGGCATTGTGAACTAAAGAGGGAAGTAAGGAAGTAATGTTCACTGCTGGGAAAATACGTGGTTGAGGAAAAACTGTTAAAAGACTTGATCCCATATTTCTGCAACAGTATATCTGTGTACGTGTCTGGAATCTTTGTATTGTCTTTGGACAGAAACTCAATACAAGAGGAGCAAAGAACACAAAGGCTGTGTCAAAACAAAGACACTGAGCTTCCGCCACCTTCAATATATGCAAAGATTTTCCTGGAAACTTTCCATTTTATGTTCCATCCTGCTTATTCCTCCATAACATAAATGTATTTTTGTATTTTTAGTGTGCATTGTATGTGAAGTAGATAGGTGAGCTTGTATATTTCAAAACAAATACTGACTTTCAAGTTCATTGAATGTTAAGTAGGTTTTTTAAGTAATAATCTGAAAGACTCAACCACAACACAAGCAAGAACTATTACTAGGTACTATTTCACTCTTCTTATATAAATTTGGAACATTTTGTTTATTTTACTAATTGATTAATTTAGGCTTATTTTCCACTGTATATCCAACGAAATGCAGATTGAGGTCAACTGTACAATAGTGCTTCTTCTTGTTGCTTATGAGAAAACTAAATAATAAAAAAATATATGTTTTAAATCCAGCACACACCAGCAAACCAAACCACTATTTATCGAATCATACAAAATGACAGAAGCTTATTTATGTGAATGTTTTGTTTGCTCCTTCTGTCGTTTTGTAAAATGTTTATTGAATTATTCGGGTCAAATGCTAATAAAAATAAGAGTTAAAAAAATTGTGTCAAAAAAAGCAGAAATAATAAGTACAGGAGCCTTTTGTTTTCAGCCGATTTACTTTGTAAAAATCAAACAGCTCTTTTTTACACACATTAGTAGAAATACACATTAACTGTGTGTCTGCACAGTCAACTGATGTTATCATCTCCAGTAATTGTGTACATGTGTTCAGAACTACAGTCATTTTGGTCTCAAAACCAAAGGGGAGTTTGTTCAGTGTTTGGATGGATTTTCACATGGTCATCGTCTCATGACGACCCCTCTGATGTTGCCTGGTTATAGTTTGACACTTCAATGAGGTTGTGGTCTGGATCTCTGAAGTACAGGGAGGTGATGGGCCCCACAGCCCCACTTCTCCCCACTGGACCTTCCTCTATTTCCACTCCACAAACCTGCAGAGGAGAAGAGAAACAAACTGACTGAGCACAATACAGAAATGTGGCATAGACGTCATGTGGATTTGGTCTTAACTTCCTCACAGCATTAGTGTTGACAACATAAATTCTAAACAGTCTGTAGTTATTGGGTGAAGTACCTTCAAATGTGCAGCTACTGTAGCCAGAGGGGTGTTGGTGATGAGGCACAGGTCCGCAGAGCCCGAGGTTGGATGTTTGGCTTTTGGCTCGAACTCCTGACCCAGCTGGTGAAGGTTAAACTTCTGCTGCCCAAAACCCAGAGCCTTACGGTTTCCCTTCAAATGCAGAGATGACGTGTGGGTGTTGAGAAGAGTTTGATTACTTAAGCTCCCTCTTACAGCATGAATGGCTGATTTTTAATCAAAGCCTGCCACCTAGTGGACTTTTTTCTCACAATCAAGCGAGCATCCACAAATTCTTCCTTGGATACAAGGACAATGATGTGAATTATTTTCACACTTGGTTTATTGTATTACAAACTGAAGCTGTCATTCAGATGCACCAATGTGTAACACGATGAGTTCAGACAGTGAAGGTAAGCCCTCGGTTTCTGAGCTTTTTCACGTTATGAACAAGTTAAGTTCATGAGTCAGTACTCAAACACAGTCGGTAAAGGACCAGTAACTTATGAGCAGCAGGACAAAATGATGTGAAATCATTGTTCTCCGTTAAGAAGTAAATATCTTGGCAGCTTTCTTCTCGAGAGTAAACTTTAAAGCTTTTGTCACAGGCCAGATGTCTGATATTGACTAAATGGGAATCTCCAGTATCTCTTCTCCTTTTTCTACAGATAAGGGAATTGCTGAAAAAGTAAATACCCCCTGGGGAAATCTATTTACAAGCTTGATATATTTACTGGATAACTACTGTTATGAATCTAATGAGTGCTTGATGGGTAGTTTATAATCCTCCCATTAATTAGCAATACTTTATGACTAGGTTAATACTACTATTATTACAACAATACATTTCAAAAGTGGGATTATTAATTTCTAATTTGTTTTGTGTTTGAGGGATGATATGAAAAAAGTTATTTTGTCTTTCTGATTATGTCTCAATAAAGGGACTTTGAAAACCATTTAAACGATGGAGACACATTTGCTATTTTTATTATTATAATTATTATTATTCTCAATATATGTGTCATGTGCAAAGCCCCTGTCAAACCTTGAAAGTGATGACATCCATGCCGAGGACAGAGGTGTAGAAGCTGATGGTGTCTGGGACACTTTTCACTGTGAGAACCAGATGATCCAGGTGACTCAGTTGAACTGGAGAGGTTCTCTTGAATTTCACGCCTCCTGCTGTTTGAATGGACGCAACCTGAAAGATGTGAGGAAGTCATTTCATCTTTCATTCATGCTGATGCTTTTAGAAATAAAAGAAAAACAGGTAGTGATTGTATTTCCGTATCAGCAGCACCGCTGTGTGGTGTGGTGGTGTACTGCATGCTGTGAGAACCTGAAATATATGCGGTTTTGCGGATTGTTAAAACTGACGCAGACTTGCAGCGGATTCGTGCACAAATAAAATCTGAAAAGAAACAGACGAGGTGAAATGAGTGGATGGTTCAGCTGGTTTCGGTTTCTCTAAGTGCGGCTTGTTTGAGTCTGTCCGGACAAACTCCACCGACAGACCAAAGATCGAGGAAACAGAAAATGTGAGCTGCTGGTTAAATAAGCACTTGATGTTATTTACCGTGACACGGCTCCTGTGAAAAAGCGACAGACGGTTCGCCACAGCTCGGAGAGTCATCTTCAGCCTGGAGCTCACCGACACACTTCCTTGTTTGTACCGCGGTGAACTGTGACCTGTGTCCGGGCACAGTGCAGCGGAGCAGCGGAGCAGCGGCTGGAGCTCCGACTGTGCGCACTGCAAACACAGGACCGAGTTCTAATACATGTCTGACTCCTCAGGGTCTGTCTTATCACCAGGCCTCTGAACAATCCTGTGTTTCCACTGTTTTACTGACTCTGGAAAACCATGAGCCCTTTAGTTTCTGTCCACATCCTAACTCTGAATTAGCTGTGAATTTTAAAATGTGCAATAACTTCTATATTCACATTCTTATACAGACTTCCCTTATTACTTTGGTTTTACACTTACATCCCTTGATGTATGTGGTATTGCAGTATTTTATTTGATTGCTTTTATTTTCTATTGAGGTCTTTTTTTGCCTTGTTATGTTTTTGTATATGTACTTCTTGTAATAATGCACTTTTCATTGTACTGTTGACCAATGTTAACTTACATGTGATCTATGCATTCCTTACAATAACATGATTGTGGTTTAATGGTCATTCTAATTGAAGAACTTGACAGTTTCTGGTTCATGCAAGTAAATCAATTTTTATACTTATATAAAAAATTTTGACAAATCCAGTACAGCTGTTTAGTGAAGCCTGGTGGTGCTCGGGTTTTTTAAAAACTATTGTAGAAGTTTTTTTTAATGAAATTAGGTTTTAGTATTGTAATGGGATTGTTGTGAAGGTGTAATGAACTATAGATTTCTGGTTCTTTCATTCTATTTCTCATTTATGTAAAAGAAAGGACAGAAAAAGCAAGTCTACACATAAAGTTATCGGTTATCACCAACTTTTACGATGAAAAGAAAAAAAACCTTTATGACAATGTCCACAAAAACAAAACCTGAAATAAATTCAGAAACTTTAAAAATTGTGTAGGATTTAGGGATATCTACTGATGTGGAGAGGCCCAGCTTTTCCAAGCATGTAGGAGAACCTGTGGTGGTGTCCAGTGACTTCAAAATGTTGTATAGGCCCCAATCTAGAATCTTGTAGATAATAGTAGTGCAAGATGGTGCAGTCTGTGGAGGAAGACACACTCAAAGGGTAGATACAAAGAGCTTATTATAAGGTAACAAAATCAAAATGTTTTAGTTTCAGGTGATAATGCACTAATTAAAAGCTTAATTATGAATATTATAATAAATTCCTGCGACTAGAACATTCCAAGTCCTACACTATGGTCATTTCAAGAAGGAGAAGTTATAGCAGCTTATTTTCTGTAGTGGGCAGTGTATTAAATGATCATGAGTTGTAACACCAACACCAGATATTCTATTTTGGATCCGTTTTAAAGGACCATGTAATATTGAAAAAGTCAAAATATTATTTGGCAGAAAAATAAACAGGGAAATTAAAAAAAAAAAAGATGTAAACTGTTTAATTTACTGTACATGGTGGAAGTAACACCAAATAATCTGGATGCAGCATGAAATTATCCATCAGCATAGTAAGAGGACAGGATGCATGACGGAAAGTTTGTAGCATAACAACTTTAATTCAGCGGTTAGTGTCTTTTAACACCCAGTTAACATACTGCACTGGGTGGGTCACAGAACAAGGCCAGAACTAAAGCATGGCCTGAGGGGGAACATACATTTCATTTACATGTTTATGGTTTTGAACAATGACAATGTCTTGTGTTCAAACTTTGTCCCGACAAGGGAGGTAATAATTGTGGAATAGACATCAAACAGTGAAACGAGAAACATGACAGGGTGGCATTAATAGTGATGCACTTTTCTTCCTTCAGCCAGTGTTCCTGTTCAACAGTGCTATTAAAACCTACAGAACTTCTACATAAAATAAAATGAACTTCAACACATTTTAATAAGTCCTCATTTAAGATTTTTAGCCATTAACAAGATTTTTTAAGAATAGCATACATTTATATCATCGCTTGTAATCCACTACTTTCACTTTTGCATGTATTGCACACTGATATGGAGCATCTGCTCATGAGGCAGAGGGAAAGGACAGTGAGCCAAGCGTCCTGACTTTCAAATGGAATAAGACAGACAGACAATTCAGACTTTTTTTCAGAAAGTCTGAAATCCGAAACTTTAAAATAATTAATTAATAATTAATAACTCGTCACCTGTACGAGGCAGAGTTGAGGAGACAGGTCTACATTTCAGTTTGTTTCACTCTGCCAAAAACAAAAGCTGTGGAGAACAGATCATTCATAAAGACAATCCCTGTTTGTGGCAAAATTAAGATTTAGAAAAGAAGTGAATGGATGTCGGCAAAAAATGATTGTAAAATCGTACATTTAAAAAGTAAAGGTCCTTTTACACAAGGGGCAAAAAAGCAAAGGCAACTATATTTAAACTTCTCATATGTCATGCCAGTATATCTTTGAGATGGGGGAATTCACATGCCAACAACTTGATTTCAAATCCAGTATCTACTACCAATATAGAGACGTACCTATCTGGCATGAATACTACTCAATCATTTAATGATCCGGAATATGTTGTGATCCCAAATTAAACTTGTGCTTTGCAACAGTAATCTAGCTGAAATTAACTTTCCCTTTATTATTATACAACAATGTTTTTTTATCAATACAAGTCACACAGAATTTTCATGATATAAGCCACTCCCAAAATATTAGTTTCTTTCATGTGAACGAAAAACAGAAAGAGAGAGAACAAGTCACACTGTAGATGTCAAACCAATTCATGTCCTACACCCTTTGGACATCACAATCTCTAAATAATTCTGATGTGTACACCGATATCACCTGTTTGTTTAACACCAAATTTAGATGTTGTGGTTGAGTAACTGAGGCCAACACTATCCTAATCTTCATGACATAATTTACATTCCAAAACCAATTCAATGATACAAAGTATGATTCAAAATTATTTATACAAGCTTATTTACAGCTAATACTTTGAACTGATGTAACTATGACTTGTACCAATACCCAATTTATGGTATATAAAGGCGCCATTTAGGAGCTAATACAAAAGGATTTGAAGTGCCTGAACTACCTGCAGGTGTGCAGCATTTAAAACCAGGGGATTCTTTATTTGATACAGATCTGCTTGTGCGCATGGTTTGGCGCAGTGCAAAAAACTGCTTGGTCACTACAGGTCGATTCAAACAGCATGCATTGCTTGTGTCTAACTTTGGACTGCATTAATAATAGTCTTACTAGAGAGTGAAAATGTCCCGATGTCACTACGTGGAGCACCCCGTATCAAACCTGCATCTGCATTATGATCAAACTCACAAATGGTATGAAGGAAATACATTTCAACAGTGGAGACACATTTCCTCAAGAGCCTCTCATGGACATGGGATATTAGATTATTTAGGTTGAGGCAAAAGGCCTGCAGTCTGTTGTGAGCTACACCACACTCTCGCGGTTGGCTGACACCAGGACAGCCCTACGGCAGATGGGGCAAGTTGAGTTTTCAGAGAGCCAGCGATCAATGCAGTGCACATGATACTCATGAGAGCAGGGTAGTTTACGTAGCTTGTTACCTTCTGCATACTCTGTTATGCAGACGCTGCAAGTTTTCAAGGCATCATTCTCGCCAAAGTTGCGCATGGAGAGGTTGTCAATCTGCTCTTTTGTCAGCCCCTGGGGCTGGTCCTCATCATCATCATTCAGAAGGAAGAAGTGGGCGAGCCGCAGGAAGGGCAGTGAGCTCGGCTCCTCTAGGCTGATAGCTGGTCGAGGTCGAGCCCTGCCACCAGATGCTGGCGGACCCGTGGCAAGTCCCTCAACCATATCAGTCTCAACTGTCCTTGCTCTGACTCCAGCAGCTGCAGGCGGCTCATCAACATCAGCAGCAGCAGGAGCCAAAACAGCAGCGGGAGTAGCTTCTGGGTTGTTGAGGGTTTCACCCAGATCCGTAGGTGTGCTGGCTCCACGGTTTGAATCTGAAGAGTCAGAGTCCGAATCCATGAGGTAGCCAAGTTCACCAAAACCAGTCATAATCTGTCTAATCATAGACTGGAGAGCCATTGAGGTTGCCTCTCCCAAACCTGCATCAGAGATTCTTCGAATAGGGATGCGAATAGTGCTGACGTAGGTCCTCACACCAGCACGCTCAGAGCGTGAGAAAGTCCTACGAAATCCGCCACGCTCACTCTCATAAAGAAATGTGTTGTTTGAGTTCTGGGAACGTGAGCGGGTACGACTGGCAATGCTGTCTCTTTGCCGATATTCGCCTGGACGCACACGACGCACCTGGAGATCTAGCATAATAGTAGGTGGGCGCCGTCCTGCTGCACCACCCTCTCCCCCAGGAGCCTCTCCTTCCTGAGATTCGACATTTTGGACCTCTGGGACAGGTTCTGCACTTGCCCTATATGGCTGAACATCAATGTCAGCTGTGCTTTGCCTGGAAAGAACATGCTGTCGAGTCCGTGAACTGCCCTCTACTTGAGGCAGAGGGGGAGAACTGGTGGCAGGGGTGGGGACTTGAGAGTTGAGAGCTGGACGTGGATTAGGGAGTCCATCGAGCTGGTCCAAGCTCAGAGGGGAACGGCTCCTGGCTGTACGTGCCCTTGTCCTGCGTGGTTCTGGACTGCGGCTTCGGGGTCTCCTTTGACCTCTGCGCGGAGAGAGAGAAAGAGGGGGTTGTACTGGCAAGGCAGCAGGTGAGCTGGGAGATTCTTCTAAAATCTCTTGTGAAACAACCTCTTCTAGCTCAGGCTCTGGTTCCACTATGACAGCCAACTCCTCTACAACTGGTTCTTCCACCACTTCTGTCTCCATTGGGACCTGAGGTTCAGCATTTGCCACTACTTCTTGACCCTCTAAAGACTCTTGCTCCCCTTCGGCAGCTGCCTGTTGTTCAGCCAGGTTACGGTTCACGCTGATTTCAAGGCTGAAACGAAAATCGCCACTGTTTGGGTTGGTCTGGCTTACTGCTCGCCATGACTGGTTTCCACGATGTCCAGTTCTGGTTGTATTTCCTGTGCGTCTCACTGTGTTCAGCCAGTCCAGGAGACTATCTCCACCGGCAGGATCCTCTGAGCTTTCTGGTTGTACTGAAACAGCAGAAATAACAAGTGAGAAATCATATCTGATCGTGACAGTAAATCACAGTCAAAAAAGAAAGATT